GAGTGGTAGCATTGACAGTGAGTCTTTGATATTGGTTGGCTCTTCAATTAACTGACGTGACTTCTTTGGATGCTCTATCATGAGTTTAAACCCAACTTTGTCGTCTTCCAAGTGGGCATGGTGTCGATTATGGAAACTGATGTGCTGATAGTGTTAATCTGTTACTTTGATCTTTTGGGTTTCAGCTATGCACATCTAAGGCATCATATTATGGACTCATGGGCATGTTTACTTGTCATCCATACGCCACCAGGCTTTCAATTTCACTTCTTTCATCCCTGCAGTTAGAGAGTGCAGCCAAGATCCAATCCCCCTGATTAACGGCATTACACTAGCCACTAGCCCATTTGGAGACTATCGAGTATGACTTACCCCATAAGATTGATTTACACGTTGTCTTAAGAGTCCCAACCAAGTTTTGTTGCTTTCAAGTTGGCAAAGTGCTTACACTATCAAAACTTTTCACTGACCCGTGGAAGATCACCCACCTCATCTGTACCGTGTATTACCTCTCGAGTCTACAGCACGACTGATTGTTCCTTTGGAAGGCTAGCCATAAGAACTGTTTGGTTTCCCCAAGGTCTCCTCTATCTTACACAACACATCGTCTTGTCTTCCACGTTATATCGTCTTTTTTCCATATTGGATAGTGTCTTTGTCGAATTGTACTGGTTTCCAATAGTTCTAACTTGCTCATCTGAGCTTGACAGTATATATGAAGCATCCAGAATCAGACGGGGTGCCTCTTTCTTTTAGATTGTTGTTGTCATTGTAGTTTGAGTAGCATCAATTGAACTTTGTCGTTACTCAACCAGTCTTCCATACTTGAGATTGTCACTTTAGCACCTCATTGAGCTGACACCACAAGCCATAAATAGTCACAAAGTCAGTGCTACAAGATACATATAAAACGAAAATGTACTTCTGGTCCATTCTCAATCTTTTAAAATTGTCAGAGTTGCTGCTCAATACTAAACCGTTTATCGTAGATACGCAATTGTTTCACGCTCGCGCCCTCTAAAAACCATGTTTTGCTTTCCAGGGAGATGGGCAGCCACAAACCGGGAAACAACTTAAACCCAGAGGGAACCTCTGGAGCGTAGCTATCCAGTAGTGGTGTTTATAGCTCGAAAGCTCTGCTAGTTGCCGAGTTATGGGTTTATATAGTATATATTAATTTAAGGTATCTCCGAGAATAGGTGAGT